CTTGATCAGAAAATTTGGGACACTGCTGAGTTACATGACATTACAGTACAAGATCTCATATGTCCTGAGTCTTGACCTTGGAAGGCTAGGGCCAAAAAGTTGGCTTTCCTTGCGGCCCACCTTTTTCTCTAATTTTGGTCTGCAAACTTAGGTTGTTAACCCTCCAGAAGAGAAGTGGCTGCTTGAACAAAGCAGTCAGGCTCAGGTTGCTGTGGTTAGATCCCCAGAACTCAAGCCAGCCAAACCTGCCCTGAAGGCATTCTGAGCCAGCGTTCAGCAGGAGAGATGGCTCAGTGGATTAAGTGCAAAAGGGCCTGAGTTCAATCCACAGTTCTGTCAAGGAAAAAAAAAAAAAAAAAAAAAAAAAAAAACATTAAAGAGCACCTCCTTGGGTGATATAAAAGCGTCTGATCTTAAATAGCATTTATGGCTGCTGAAATCTGGATGTGTTCATATTCTCCTTTGATCAGCCCCTCTCTGCTCCCTTTATTTCTAGTGGCAGCTTTCTTGATGGACTGGTTTGACTTTATTTAACCCCTTTTGGGAAGCTGAGAAGAATGTCATATATCCAACTAGCTTGGTTTTTTATTTGTTTTTTTTTTTTTTTTTTTTTTTTTTGTTTCACTAGAGGTTGACCTCAGGCCCTTGCGCTTGCCAGGCAAGCACATGTTCTACTGAGCCATCTCCATGGCCCTTTTTTTTTTTTTTTGTCCAACTGGCTTCTAAGAATTATTTTTGGCTTCCTTTTTATAACAATTACAGACTGTAAATAACCTTTTCAGGGGCAGTGGCCTTGTCCTTCCCATCTCTGTGTCCCTGTTGTCTAGTATAGTGCTGGCAACTGCTGGTGGTGGTAGCTTTCATCCAGCACTTGCCATAAATTGTTCTCACCAATTTAGTGAGAGAAATACTGTAATTATCCTCATTTTACAGATTAGAAAGCCAAAGTACAATAAGATTGCTTTCCCAAGGGTCCCTAGCAAGTTAGTAGTAAATCCAGAATGAAGTTTGAATATAGTATGGTCTAAGTAGTTTTTCCACTGTTTTACCTGTAAGCTCTTCTGAGAGATTGAAAAGTTGAGGTGTGATTCAGAATTTTTAACCACTTTTCCTGCAAATAGGGAGCCACATCTGTGAAATTTGTACATAAGTCTTGGCAGAGCTGGGAACACAGAGAAAGTCCTTAACCAGCATTATCTGACAACCCCATAAGGTACAGGGTACCATGGTTGTGGTTGTGCACACAGTCCCAGAGTCCGACTGCCCTGGGGAATCAAGCTGAGTCTCAGTTCAGTCAGAAAGTGCAGATAGTAGTTTCTATCTCAAGGGGTTATGATCTATTGAGTATAGGGTGAACTGCTTAGCAAAGAGGCTCAAGCATTTACAGCATATATGTGTGTTTCTATATCTGTATTCAAAGGAAATGTAAACCTGGGTAATCTGTCATTTTCTTCTCTAGCATTTGAACAAAACCTACAATACAGATGTTCCTCTTGTTTTAATGAATTCTTTTAATACGGATGAAGATACCAAAAAAATACTACAGAAGTATAATCATTGTCGTGTGAAAATCTACACTTTCAATCAAAGCAGGTACAAGGAGTGAAAATATAAACCATAGGGGTGCAACTCCTAAGGACTTTGCCTAGTTTATGTATAGAGGCCTCGAGATGCAGATGTGCCAAAGATCAGTGCTAGCAAGTGCCTGATGCCTTTTAAAAGCTGTTTTTCATAGATGTGATTATTATAATTAGTTTTGGTCCTGTAACTTCCAATTCTGAAAAAAGGATCTGTTTGAGAGTCTGTTCCATATCCAGAATATTTGAGGGTAATTAGGTCTTTGCTTTCTGGCAGCATATTTGGTCTGCAGGTGGGTCTGTGAAAGTCTTTCTGCATTCTGCAGTATTGTAATTCTTCCTTAGGGTAGGAATTTCCTTATCCTAAATAAGCCTGGGGTAAATAATTGTAGAGAAAATAATTTACTTTGGGGAAAGATGAAATGAATAGCAAAGAATGAGAGGATGAATTATGATAAAGCCCAGCCAAATAGAGAAGTGAAGCTTCCATGTAAGGATGACACCAGCCAGTCTGTGTAAACCTGTGGAGAAGGTGTATGTTTAAAGTTGGCCTATTAGTTGTTTTCCATGAACACTTTTTTCCATCACAGATCATTTGCGTCTGTGTTCTAGTTGGTTTTTAGCCTGCTGGTGTGCTGCTATCTTGTTTTTCTTTTGGCATTATTTACCCCTGTGCTCAGTGATTAGGAAGTAGACATCCAAGGTGTAATGAACTGCTGTTCAGTTTCTGGGGAATTATAGCCACCTGGAATATAGTATGCTTGTAGGAATAAGTAGCTTCCCCAGATTGGTTTTGGAAGAACAGCCATCGCAAAACCAAATAAATTTAATGAGATTTACTTAGTAGTTCCCTCCTCTTTAAGAGTCAAAAATCTTAGTATCTTTAAAAAATGAGGTATCTTCCCATCTGTATGACCAAGAAATTTTTTCTCAGCAACTAATCCTATGTAGGGAACAGATTTTAGATAACACAGATAATGGTTTTCTTAAATGGATTCATGTATAATTTATTATTAATAGACTTGGAAAAGGGACATTTAATTTCAATGCATTTTTGTTGAAAGTCTGGGAATGCTCAGAGTAGATATTGCAAAAGAACTTTTTCTTTTTATAGGTACCCAAGGATTAATAAAGAATCTTTACTTCCTGTAGCAAAGGATGTATCTTACTCAGGGGAAAACACAGAAGCTTGGTACCCCCCAGGTCATGGAGATATCTACGCCAGTTTCTACAACTCTGGTTTGCTTGACACCTTTATAGGAGAAGGCAAAGAATATATTTTTGTGTCTAACATTGATAATCTGGGTGCCACAGTGGATCTTTATATTCTTAATCATCTGATGAACCCACCCAATGGGAAACGCTGTGAATTTGTCATGGAAGTCACAAATAAAACACGTGCAGATGTAAAGGTAAATACGGAGAGGAAGCAGTTTAAGGATTCATGCTTTCACATTTCTTAGGTTATATGTTCTTCTAATAAAGTTTCTATTTTAAGCAGAACACATTAATTCATTAGATGACAGTGAGACAGTACTGTGTGGAATACCTTAAGTTCTACCTTATCAGTTGTGTCTCATAAATTCAAAATCATTTTTAGTTAATTTTATATAGAGAAATCTGAAGCATGTGAAGACTTTGAATAAGTTTATTCAAAACTTTAATATTCTAGTTTTTTTCTTTTATGGTCCCTTTAATGAAAACTTTTCCACAGAATATTTTTATATAACTTTTGTTCTGTCACTGTAATATCTGTGTAGCACTTGCAAAAATATGTAGTTGTTTTGGTACAAAGTACAAATTTACCTGGCATGTTGGTTGTGATATTTGATTAAATGATATAAGAATGCACTACTTTTCTACAGCAAGTAAGAAAAGCAATGTGCAAATACTGAAACATCCTGACTTGGATTTCATGTTCCTTCTAAATGTCCCCCTTTTCCTACACTGGCATGGCCTAGTGAAAGAACATTTCTAGCCTGAAGCCACTTCTTATATATACACTTGTGCATCTGTGTCTTTTCTGCACTTATCATGGAGCCATTCTGAGGAGGGCCTGGGGTGGTAGGTATAGCTGTTTGGTGGTTGGCGCTGGTTAGGAACTAAAAAATGGCTGTTCCTATAGCAGACCTTAGGAAAGAAAGGAAGATTCTGATATATTTCCAGGCCTATAATTATGGAGAAGATAATGCATATACATGGTTAAATGATACCTGGCCAATTGTCTTTGGCCTTAGCTTTTAGCTCAGATTTCTTCATATACTAGGAGACTGTATCAAAGTCTGTAACATTCATAAGGAGTTCTATAACATTCATAAGGAGTGTGTTATGGTTGTAATTAAAAAAGATATGGAATCACTCATTATTTTCTGCCTTTCTAGGGTGGGACACTCACTCAATATGAAGGCAAACTGAGACTGGTGGAAATCGCTCAAGTGCCAAAAGCACATGTTGATGAGTTCAAGTCTGTATCAAAATTTAAAATATTTAACACAAACAACCTATGGATTTCTCTTGCAGCAGTTAAAAGACTGCAGGAACAGAATGCCATTGACATGGAAATCATTGTGAATCCAAAGGTAAGCCAAAGTTGCGGCTTTCTGGGCTTTTATAGTTCCTAAGATTAGATTACACATGGACCCTTCCGGCCTTTCCCTCTGGCTTGTCTCTTCTATCAGTCACTCCTTTTTGCCTAGTCAGGCCCTCTCTCCAGTTCCTGACCCTGTCCGCAGTCTGCATGCATCCTGGTAATGTCCATCTGCCCCAGGGCTATCGTAGTCACGAGCACTGTGCTCAGAAGTGGAGGGCCTACCAGTCTTAATTATTGCTCTGAAGCACATGCATTTGGCCACAGGCGCCTTGTGTGAGTTTTCTCAACCTGTGGTTCTATTGCAAAATATAAATAATTTAGGGTGCGGTAGGTAGGTGCTTAATGTCAGTTCTCAAAGCTGTATTTGCTTTTATGGTTCTCTGAAACCACTTCTCAAATGTTAACTAGCACACATGGAACTAAATTGTGAGTTTTAGGTGACTAAAATCTGTTTCTTTTCTGTTTTCCCTTTGGTTTCTTTTAGACTTTGGATGGAGGCCTGAATGTCATTCAGTTAGAAACTGCAGTAGGGGCTGCGATTAAAAGTTTTGAGAATTCCCTAGGTATTAATGTTCCAAGAAGCCGTTTTCTTCCTGTAAAAACCACATCAGATCTCTTGCTTGTGATGTCAAACCTCTATAGCCTTAATGCAGGATCTCTGACGATGAGTGAAAAGCGGGAATTTCCTACAGTGCCCTTGGTTAAATTAGGCAGTTCATTTACAAAGGTATGTAACTGTAAAGATACAAAGATTATAAAGATATGAATGAGTAGTTTCCACTACTGAACTGTATTCTTCCACCTTTGTCATTTAAAGGAATTGAGAAAAGAAAAAGATGTACCTCCTTGTGAAACTTGACTACTGTAGAATTGAAAAGAATGTTTAAATGTGGGGACATTTTATTTCATGTTTCTTCCAAGACAGTACCACTTTCACCAGTTGGGAAAGGTTAATTCTGTACAGATATTTATTAAGCTGCGCCCACCTGCTGGGCAATGTTCTAGGTGTAGGGATTTAACAGTAAACAAAATAGGCTAAAATGTTTGTCTTCACAGCACTGATAACTCTGGTAGGGGAAGGAAAATAAAGACGTATTTTTCCAAAAATTTACATACACACTAATGGGAACTGATGCAGTCAGAAAAGAAAAAGCATCCAAGTGGGAGGGACTCCTTATTATTCTTTTTTTCCCCTGAGGAAAAAAGTATATATTTAGAATTAGCCAGCTGGACTCAGTTTAGATGATCTCAGTTTTGTTGGCAACATCTAATGCATCATAATCAGGTGCCAGTCAAACATATGCCTTCTCTCCATCAGGCCTGATTAGGGTATTGACCTTGGCAATATTGATGTCATACAGCTTCTTTGCAGCTTGTTTGATTTGGTGTTTATTGGCTTTGACATCCACAATGAACACGAGTGTGTTGTCCTCGATCTTTTTCATGGCTGACTGTGGTCAGGGGGAACATGATGACGGCATAGTGGTCAAGCTTGTTTCTAATGGGGGCGCTCTTCTGAGGGTATTTGGGCTGCCTCCAGAGCCGCAGTGTCTTGGGATGGCGGAAGGGGGGTGACATTCGTATTTTCTTTTTTGTGGCTGTGGATGCCTTTCAGCATGGCCTTCTTGGCCTTCAAAGCTTTTGCTTTAGCTTCAGCTTTGGGAGGGGGGACTTCCTTCTTTGCCTTTGGCACCATCTTGGTAAAAAGCCTCTAGGAGGGTTTTGTTTGTTTTTTGCCACTCAGGATGCCTTCAGGGCAGGTTTGGTTTGGCTTGAGGATGAGGGGATCAAACTATAGCATCCTGAGCCTGACTGCTTTGTTTCAGCAGGCACTTAAAACACCAGAGCTAATGGGCGGGTCCCCCTGTTATTCTTGAATGGGCAGGAAGGAGGGATCCAGTGCACAAGTGGGAGGGTGGAAGAGAAGCTCTCCAACTCCAGTATCAGGAGGAAAGATAATGTGCTGGGAAGACAGAGGTCAAAGGCAGTGAAAAAAAACTTTTTCCCTCAATGAAACAGGAAACAAGGTCATGTAGGACAATTTCTGGTACTTCTAAATGTAAGGAAGTAAACAGCAAAAATAGTGGTAGTTTTTATATAAAGCCCAGCTTTTGTCTTGTCTGCCTCAAGCCATGATAGTATTTTCTTTCTTCCTTTCTGTATTTAGTACAGGGTCTACAGGGTCTCACTACATAGATCGGACATGTAATTCTGTTTTCAGCCTCCCAAGCACTGGGATTACAGGCATGTGCCACCATACCCAGTTTCAAATCACCCTCTAGTGTGCTGAGCTATTTGGCCTGCCCTAGTATTTTTCTTTCTTTTCCAAGTATGTATTACAATCTGGCTTTTAACAGGATCGCAGATTATCTCTCTCTCCCTAATGCTGTGATTATAGATGTACACCACTGCCCTGGCTAGATTATCTATTTTTAAAAGCTGTCTGATTTTCTTAACAATATGGCAAATTTGTTGATTATGGGGACAGTGTTCATAATTCATGGTTTCTCTTGTATGAGATCTATATAGTAACTGCTTAATAGGTTCTTCCATGAAGTTGGCCATAAAATGTTTTAGGTCCTGTCAGTATTTTATCTATCTTGTTAATATTATTGTCTATGAATTTATTTTTAAAGCAATTTTTATGTCTCTATTTAAGGTTCAAGATTACCTAAGAAGATTTGAAAGTATACCAGATATGCTTGAATTGGATCACCTCACAGTTTCAGGGGATGTGACATTTGGCAAAAATGTTTCATTAAAGGTATGTTATGAAAATCATACTTCTTACAGCCTTAACAGGTTTCACTTTCTAGTCCTAACTTTACCTTTAAGGCATACTTCTTAGTCTGAACTAGATATTTAAAAGGTAGCTACATTTAAAAAATGAGTAGATGTAGACCTGAAAAGATTCCCACATTTGGTGGTGTTATTGTATCCAAATACACAATCTATTTAAAATACAACATAATTATTATTATAGGAATTTTGTGGAATAGAACATTTAAGTGGAAAAGCAAACACTAATAATAAAACTACTACTTCGACATGTAACATTATTTAAAAACAGGATCACAGTGTGAAATGATTGAGAGCAGGAAAAAAGCTTCATTTACACTGCACTTCTGTTAAAGGAATCTTGCCATCAGAATAAAAATATTTGTTATATTACTGTAGTACTTGGTGCTTTGAGTATCCTTATAGTCTAGTGTAATAAACAAGGAAATATGGGGGAAACTACCCACTCGGGCCCCCCTCATGTCCCTCTCTTGGACAGGAGCTTTCTTTCTCTCAATAAATATATTCTGCTCATTAAAAAAAACAGGGAAATATGGCCATAAATATTAAAACTCACAACTGATGATAAAATAGCCTTTTCATAATTAAGTTTTAAAAAATCTCATGTCCACATTTCATTTGTTTTTCCATTAAAGCAATTTGCTTTTAAATGAAGACCTTGAAAATTAAATTAAAACAATCCGCATGTTGAATTTTATTATGTATGCCATCCTCTAAAAGCCCATTTAGGACATGAAAAATGTACAGAGTTCTTTTTAAAAAATCATAAACCCTTTGTGTACCTACAAAGCAAGCATCTTTTGTTTTATGAAGATGGGATAATACTGTTGGCTTTGTAAGTAGCCCTACAAACAGGCTAGTTTGCTGTGACACAGGGCCCACTTTTCTCTTGGTACTACCTCTAACAAGAAGGCAAGGAATGCACAACTACTGGTAGGATTAGACATATCAGTGTCCCTTAATGTATTATTTCCTTTGCAGGTTTTGTGTTGCTTATAGTTATTCCATTATAAATGAAATTGTATATAAACTTGTGAACTGTAAGTAAGATAATTGCCTTGAATTGCAATTACATTCTTTTTGTTTGTCCCTGTCACTTAGGGAACAGTTATCATCATTGCAAATCATGGTGACAGAATTGACATCCCACCTGGAGCAGTATTAGAGAACAAAATTGTATCTGGAAACCTTCGCATCTTGGACCACTAAAATGAAAAATACTATGTATACTTTGTACTAATTATGGGCTAAAGAGTTTCTTACATTGTAACCTCTAAGATTCTAAAATAGGTACTTTATTATGTTACTGTACCCTGAAATTCTGATTCTTAAAGTAGTTTTCTGCTGTTAGTCTTAAGAAAAAGCACAGATGAAACAATACTTGCCTTCCGTGAAGAGAATCCTGAAGGTTATCTTAAAGTGCAGTATTGTTTCATCATAAAACTGAAGCAGTCTGCTGGAAGATCTTTTAACAGAAGCCTCACTGACAGTTATTTTGAATTGCGTGTGATTTCAACAATAAAGAGGTGGAGCACTACATGTGTACACTTTGTCTTTTTAATGCTAACTTTATTAATTGACAAAATAAAAGGATTTATTTCCTTTTAGACTATTTAAAAATGCACTACTTAGGTAGCAAACCTAGGTTTTTCATTTCTACAAATGTTAAACACATTATTTCCATAGGAATTAAACTTGAATGTATTTAGTATCTTTCATTAAGTCTTAAAGCTGGGATATCTGCCATGCTTTTCATAGACTCTCCATTTACTTAAAATGATTGTTTCTTTTCCCAGCTGCAGGGGTGGGGTGGGCAGAAGCAAGTCATTTCTTTCACATCCTTGTACAGTGGAGCAGGAAGATAGCTTTTTAAGATGTTCCCATTCCTTAAGTAAAGCTATACTTCTTGAAGTTTACTTGTCAGTGAAAAATGGTCATGAATAACCTGCTAAATCATCTGCTGGTGATTAAATTTATACCTTTTCTCTTAGAATCAAGCTATATTTTCCAGTTTTTCCATACTTGTTTTCAGTGGGCTACTTGTTTGAAATTAACTGTATACTGCACCATTAAAGAAAGTTGTCCTTTAAAGTCTTGTAATTTTTTACAACTTTTATTTTAGACAATTTTAGAACCAATGACATACCTCTGTAATGATAAAGGAAAGAAAGTATCTTTCCTTTTGAGAAACAAAGACACAAAATAAGACTTTTATACATAATCATCACAAGATTAGGCACTCTGACAGGGTTAGGCAAGATTCTTGGTGTGAGGTGAGGCACAGGCACTTTCATTTGTAGAGTGCTGCTGAGTCTAATTTTTAATTTTAAAGATAAATATTATAAAATTCTTTAAATAACTTACTCATCACCAGATATTTCTATAGTATAGCAGTCTATATTTTAAAAGTTCCATTTCTCCCTGGTCTTCCCTCATATACATATCCAAAGTAACTTCTAATGGGGAGGGGCTTCATATGTTATCTGTTAAAATGAGAACTAATAAGTAGGCACAGTATGCAAATACTACCTGTGCTAGAAAAAAAGTAGGGGAAAAAACCCAAACCCTTCATAGGTTCTTTCATAAAAAATACAGCTATTAAAGTATAGCCTTCTGTATACCATTTCTATAAAGTATTTAAATTACTAGTTGCATAAATAAATGCCATTATCTTATTCTTTATTACCTGTAATCAGCCTTACACATATTTAGACCATTCTAGAAGGCCTTACCCAGTTGACATATGGTGGTGGAAGAAAGATTAAATATGAAACACAAAGCCTATAACTTGACAGTGGTCACTAAAACAAAAATTGAATTTCTAAATCAAAGCAATCAAAAGATGTTTATTTTTTTATAGAAAGATCTGTAAAAAAATAATTTTTTTCAAACAGCTTTACTTTTATAGAGAAAACTTTCTACAGAGGTTGACTAAGATTTTAATATTTTAAATTGTACCATCATTAAATAAGGTGGGACACCATATGAATTTCATTGCACTGGAAGAAATGCAAAGCATTTTTAATATAAAGTATACAGAGCATTCTAGTCAACTACAGCTGTGTTACAGCTATGTGTTCTTTTGGATTTGGTCCAAAGAAACCTGAGTCTGTTTCCAGAGAGAATGAAAAATGTTATAGACACCTGATCAATTACTCCTCACTGAAGGATGCACAAAAATGGCATTCCTTGGAGACCCCACTTGAATCCAGTTTCCCAACACTGATACTTTCCTTTTCCCTTCCCCCACCTCAGTTCACTTTGTGTTCCAGGTTCAGTTCTCAAAACACAGGTATTCAGATTTTCTTCAGAAAGACCCCATGGTCAGAGATGAGCTACCCAGATGGCTAGTATGTCATCACCTCTTCTGTTCCCAGATCTCAGCCATATTTAGGTCCAAATCTTTAAGGCCTTTTAAGGCTTGAAGATTTCCAGTGTAAAAGGCTACATCTGCTGTGACCAACCTAAACATTGGAGAGAAAGTTATTTTTAAAACTCACATTTTATATTTGAATAATGAAAGGAGCAATTCTCATTACTATCTGAGCTGCCAGAATATTAATTAAAATTCTGAATTTCTATGGACAAATGTGCAGATACCTCTTACTCAGATTCCTGTCATAGTAATCCTTTTAACACTCTATTTCAGTGATATTTGGAAATAAAAAGAAATAAACCAATACATGCAGCAATTTCAAGGTAAATTCTGCCCAGTAAAGAAATTTATCTTAAAATAGCATGAAGTAAAATACGGAGAAAATAAAGTTTGAAGTTTCTTTATTAGATATCATTACAGTATATCTGTGTGACCAAAACAAAACAATAGGCCTGGTGTCCTGAGCATCATCTCAAGGAGTTAAGTGAAAGCTGGGGCTCATGTACACATGCAATAGGTGACCTAAAAGTGGATACAAAGGGCTGAAGATGTAAGTTCAGTGGCAGAGTGCTTGCTAGCATGCTTGGGGCCCTGGATTTGATCCCCAACACCCAAATCCAAGCAGAATAAATGCTGCTGATAATACAACATGATGAAGAGTACTTTTGTGTTCTGAGTGGTCACACCAGTGCCTAAACCTGAAAAATACTTGACACTTAAGTAAAATTTTCAAATTTTGACTTTGAAAAATGTATTTTTTAAAAACTGTGATAAATCCTTATTTGCTAATGTTATATTAGCCATCTCATGTCTTTTTCATAGCAGTTATAAGGTTCAGGATTTTTAAAAATGAATTATTAGAAGATTAAAAAATAAGTATATAAAACAATTTAAAATAGATTTTTGTGTAAATGGTCTTGGAGTTTGAAATCAGGGCCTCACAAATGCAGGCCAGGCAAATGCTCTACCAATCAGTTACAAACCCACCATAAACAAGCAGATTTTTAAACTGTTATAAAAAGGAAAAATACTTTGTGTGTGCACATGTGCATGCACATGTATGGGGTGGGGTGGGGTTTAGGGCTCTGCATTTATCTCCGTCCATGGCCCTTATGCATCATCTGTATTTGGAGACAAGGTAGCACAGAGCTGCATAGGGTGGACTCAAACTTTCAGTCCTCCTGCCTCAGCCTCTTAAAGAGTGCTGAGATAACAGTCTGGTCATCACACCTGCAAGGGTTAATTTTTTAAAATTAATGACTACAGAGTAAGAATGACCATGTATATAATACCTCAAAACCAAGAACTTTATGCACAATTATTTCCAGGTCTGGATGTCTATACACACATCTTTGACCAAGGACCAAAATTTAAAAAATGGATGAAAGATCTAAATATTAAAATAATCTGCTGGAAGATAGGAAAAACCTTTAAAGACAGACATAGGCAAGAAGTTTTGACTAGAACCTCAATTGTGAAAGAATAATATGAAGAATCAACAAATAGAATCATATCAAAAGCTACACAGCAAAAAAAACCAGCAGAGTGAAAAGACAACTATAGAATAGGAAACATTTTGCCAGTGATTCTTCAGCAAAGACTAATATGTAGAATATATAAAAAAATCAGACTCCCCCCAAAAAAAAACCCAATCAAAAAATGGGTTATTGAAATAGAAGTACAGTGGCCAGTAAGTATATGAAAAAATGTTCAACATCTTTGGCTATCAGAGAAATGCAAATTCAAGTAACACTGACATTCTATCTTAAGAATGGCTACAATAAAGAAATCAAGTAACATGTTGGTGAGGTTGTGAGAAAGAATCTTACATTTTTGTTGGAATTGTAAATTAGTATAACTATGGAAATCAAGAGATTTCCCAAAAAATGAAAACTACAAATTCTATTTGACTCAGCTATTCCCCTTCTAAGTAGCTTCTGAAAAGATTTAAAAATATTACAGTGATATAGGCAGACCCATGTTTATAGCAGTACAGCTCAAACAGCTAAAAAAAGTGACTATCCACCAACAGATGAATGAATAAAAGAAACATGGTATAAAACTTATATACAATGGAGTACTGCTTTGCCTTAAAGAACAAGAAATTTGAGTCACCTTGACACCAGGTTAAGTGAAGTAAATCAGACATACTCTTCAATATCACATGATTTCTCTTACATGAGAAACCCAAAGCATAAAGAGTAAAATAAAAAACAGACAATAGGAGGTAGAGTGATAGGTCCTTTGCGAATGTGAAGGGGACTAACAAATGGAAGGCTGGGGAACTGGAGGGAGGCTGTAAAAAAAATTGTTATGTATATGTACAAACTACCTACTACAGTGAACTGTCATCCCTATGTATTGTAAATATACTAACAAAACTTTGAAAAAAGAAAAATATTTTTGAACTTTACAAATGAGAAAATAAAATATTGTAATGAATTTTACTTTTAGTAGTGTATCAACAGAGTGGGACTCCATTGTCAAAAATGAACAGAGTACTACTATATATAAAATGATCAGCTTTCAAACTTGGTCTCAAAATAATTCACTAGTAGTCACTTGATGATTTAGGGGACATTTACTTAAGGGATCCTTGTCTTGCAAGTAAACTACAATAAATAATGGTAGGAAAAAAAGAAACTCCTAGTATTAGGGAGAAAAACAGTCCAAAATTCAAATAAATGTTGCATGATATATTTTAACCATGAATTATGTTCTAATAATCAACAGTGTTATAATGATAGAATTTTAAAATACATAGAAAGAATTGGCTTGGGACCTGACACAGAGCACAGTTCATTTTCACTAAGAAAAACAGATTTCTACCTGTCCAGTTCCCAGAGCAGCTCCTCTACTGACATGGAAATGACCCAAACAAAGTATCACTAGAGATCATTGATCTGTTACATTTAAAGTAAGAGATCTGGGGGATGGGGAGATAGCTCAGTAGAATAATGCTTCCCTGGCAAGCATAAGGGCCTGAGTTCAATCCCTGGTTCCACCAAAAAAATAAAAAATTTAAAATAAGAAATCTTACCAGAGTTGGAGAGATAGCTCAGTGGCATACGTATATGCCTGGCAAGTGCAAAGTCCTCAGTAAAAACAAGAATGAAAACAAACTTACCTATTCCAACCTGTCTTGTTTCTGGCCTTAGTGATGGTCTAACCAAATAAATACATTTCAACAGTCTCTTAAACCATTCAGTCCTGATTCTTCTGAAGTAAATAAGTGATTTGTGTGTGTGTGTGTGTGTGTGTGTGTGTGTGTGTGTGTGTGTGTGTGTGTGTATTTTAGGGAACAGTCTACAGGGTGTTCAGGGTCTCAGTACTAGATCGGACTCATAGTGATCTGCCTGTTTACAGCCTCCCAAGAGCTAGTGATCTTAAATTCCAAGTTGCAAATCTATGTAATGCCTACCAAGCCATTTTGTAAGTGGCCTTCACAGTTGCAAAAATAAGATAATAAACAACATTTAGATAGCACCTGATTAGTTTTAAATAACTTTCACTTAGACCTTTTCACTTCATAATTACTGTACTGAGTAATTATGGATTACTGGATTGCTGTACTGAGAGAAATGTAACAGTATTAACCTAGATTATAAATAGAAAATTTGAGTTTTAGAATGACTTAGTGTATGCAATTGGGCCTAGGGTAGATGAGTATATTGGTAGTGCTCTCGGTCTAGGTGGTTTACAATTATACCTTTAACTGGATTAATTAGTTTAAGACAAAGAACAGGGAGCCAAATTTTGCTCAGTCTGCAAAGTACAAAAGTAGACTTTATTTTGATCATTTCATGACTACTCATTTGGTTTAGAACCAAGGAAGAAAAAGGGTTATTAGGCACATTTGATTTCTAACAGAGTTAGTTCTCCTGCTTTTAATTTAATTTTACTAATAGGCCACTTATAATCTAAATATATCTTGCCTATAAAAGAGAATGTAGTTTTTCAGATGCCTAATGTCAAAGTGATTCAAATTTTATGTATTCTGTACATCTCACAGGTAAACAAATACCAGTGCTCCATGCATAGAAGACAGTTCCCGGGCCTATGAGATGTATGTTTTGACAGATATGTCCCATGAGGAAACAAACAGGTGATCTTTAATATTTTGTAAAAGAAGAAATACAGCAATGTTTCAATATTTAATGAAAACTGTAAGTTCTGGATTGCTGTGCTGCATGGGAAGAAAGGTGTTATAAACATCCTTAATACTTGTACTACAACTAACTTACAAATACCACTGGACTTATACACTTAATGTCTCACCCTTTATCAGATGGCAGACTCTGATAAGAATTTTTTTTTATTTGAAACTCATCTATGAAATGATCTAACTAGACAGTAGCACACACCTGTAAACTTGGAAGACTAAGGCAACAGGATTACAAGTTTGAGGCCAGCCTAAGCAACTTAATGAGATTCTATTGCCCACTCCCCCAAAAAATAATGGGGGCAAATGTCAATGCTCCCTGGGTTAATTCCCTGTACCACCCAGGGAGGAAATAGATGTAAATCACTATACTTTTGGTGATGGTATGGTAAATACATCAATATTGAAAGAAAAGCATCAAAACCCCAAAACTTTCTAGTAAAAGGAAAAATTAAGGATTCTAACATGGCCAATAGGAGGAGGTGTATCTTGGGTGGAGGGATAGCATGGAAATCTGTGAAGGGAGCTCGAATGGCAGGTCCCTGCTGGAAGGTGACAAAGAACTAGGTGTTAAGCAAACTATACCACATCCTCTTCTTTCCAAGTTAATTGAGGTGGTCAGATCTTGGGACACAAAAATGTTCTACAGCTGGTTATACATAAAGCAAGGCTTGCAACCACGTGGAGACTGACAACTCGCCCAACTCCCAGGCAGGCACTTCAACAGCACAAGAGGGAAAACTGGCTTGACTGCCTGCAACTGGACTAAGGCTGGGGGGGCCTGCCCATTAGCTCAGGTGTTTAAGTGCCTGCTGAAACTAAGCAGTCAGGCTCAGGATGCTGTGCTTTGATCCCCTCATCCTCAAGCCAAATCAGACTTGCCCTGAAGGCATCCTGAGTGGCCAAAAAAACGCCCAAAAAACTCC